TGATCGAGGTGCTGTTCCCATTGGTCCAGGTCAAAAATGTCGGAGCTCACCCATTGAACAAGGTTGTAATCCGCATCGTTGATAAGCAGGGGTTTACCACTCCTGGAGATGCTGATCACCGGTGTTTGCTGGGCATTTATTAGTTTACAGATCTGTTTACCAAGAAAGCCGTTTCCGCCGGTCACTAAGATAGATTCTTCCATATTGTCAACTATTTATAAGTAGGGTTGGATGATGTATATATCTTTCATCCTTCAAAAGATCAGGCCACCTCTACCCATATATTTTCAGCATCCTGTTTGCGGATGCTCAGGTAATAGCCGGCAATCTGGATAGCCATCGGATCACCCATCGGGGCGATCATCTCTACCCAAACCGGCTCGCCCGGTATACAGCCCATTTCCATCAGCGTCAGCCGGAAGTCGGTATCCGCATGTTCCCTGATCACGGCTTTAAAGCCTTTTGTGAGCTGTGATAAACGCAGCATTTTTGACATGCCGCAAAATTACTGTTGAATCTTGAATCGCTACCGTTTAATATTTAATAGCGGTATTGAACCCGGCCCTTGATTTTCATTTGTAATAATATTTTATTCATGCAGGATTTGGCGGATAAGCGCCCCACATTCCCTGTGGTATGCCTACATTCGCGTCTGTAAATCCTGCCTGCAATACAGCTTGCGTATTTGCCGGCAGTCAACAATATTTAAAGATGCATATCGGTCTCTACTTTGGTTCGTTCAATCCTATTCATACTGGTCACCTTATTATTGCCAACCATGTACTTAATTATTCAGATATTGATAAGATCTGGTTTGTGCTCTCCCCGCATAACCCGCTGAAGGAAGCACATTCCCTGCTGAATGAATATGACCGGATGCAACTGGCCGAACTGGCTATTGGCGACAATGCTAAGTTCCGCGTGAGTAATGTTGAGTTCCACCTGCCGCGTCCTTCCTATACGATTGATACCCTGACCTACTTGTCCGAAAAATTTCCTTTAGAGCGTTTCTCCGTGATTATGGGTGGCGACTCTTACCAGAATATTCATCGCTGGAAGAATTATGAACAGCTGCTTAATCATTATTCCGTAATTGTTTACAACCGGCCGGGCTTTACCGTAAACCCCGCTCCCGGTACGCCGGTGACCGTCATGGATGCACCCCTGCTGGATATTTCCGCCACCTTTATCCGTAAGCAATTGAAAGAAGGAAAGTCAGTCCGTTACCTGCTGCCGGATGCGGTCTGGAAATATATTATTGACAACAAATACTACCTGTAAGCAGCAGGCATTAAGGATTGGGATTTGAATGTGAGGACTGCCTGCGGGGCGAAAATTCTACATGGTAGATCTTCACCAGCAACAAGAGGTAGGAAATGAGCAGCGGTCCGAAGATGAAACCCATAAAGCCAAAGATGGGTATCCCGACAATAATGCCCAGTACCGTAATAATCGGATGCACATCACCCAGGCGTTTCAGCAGGGTGAAACGAAGCACATTGTCTACACTACCGATCACGGCCAGCGAATAAACGATCAGCCCAAGGCCTTGCGGCACATGGCCGGTAGCCAGCAGGTACACACAAACAGGCCCGCAGATAACTGCCGTACCCACTACGGGTATCATGGAAAACACGCCGGTAAGTACTGCCCAGAGCAGGAATTCGGGGACACCAAACAGGTAAAAGCCAATAGCAGCAACAAAGGCCTGGGACATTGCCAATAGTGGGATCCCGATGGCATTAGATACCACCATATTGCGGGTGGCCTGCCAGATATCGTCTACATTCTCTTCTTTCAGGGGCAGCATATCCTGGATACGGCGCTCCATGCGCCGACCATCTACCAGCATAAAATAAAGCAGGAAGAAACACAGGATCAGGTTGGTAAACAGGTTCATGGTGCTGCTTAAAAAGCCCGGAACGGTGGTAGTTACTTTTTGCACGGTACCGCGGATATCTGCTTCACTGATGTGGAATTGCGGCACCAGCTCTTTTGCTTTTTGAGTAACGATGTTCACACCTTGTACCAATTGTCCGGGATCATCGATCAGCATATTGATCTTAGGTAATATCATCAGCGTGATCATTGCAAAAGGAACCACTAACAGTAGTAAAGATCCGATAATAAATATGATAGCCGTGAGCCATTTCTTCCATCCCTTTACCACCGTCAGCTTGAAAAACCAGCCACGTAATAAGACGTAGAAAGTGACGGCGCCGAGTGCACCCGGGAAGAAAGAATAGAGTTGTGAGCCCAGGAGTAAGACCAATGCAATGATCAATCCGACCAGCAGGAATTGCTTGAGTTGTGTGTTGGTAAACATTTAATTTAATATGAGGGGTATTGAAAGATGTTTATTTTCATCTGTAAACAAATTACTAAAAATAATGCCAGTAGTGCTGGGGCTGGCAT